TTATACATGCACTTTCGGAAACTTTCAGTTTGTTTTCTAATGTCTTATTATGAATATTACCGATATTTTCAAATTAAAAGGCTGGCACAACTTGTTGAAACACTTAATAATCTGAATATAACATATATTTAAATTGTTTAAATTGCTACAAAATATTTAAAAACTTCTCATGAAACTACTATAGCAAATGAACATGATAATTTAAATATAAAATATTTTTAATTAAAATGGGGAAGAAAACTTGATCCCCTACTGGGAATTGATCTCATAATATAATATCGCCAAGCGTCCACTCTACCACTTGACCACACAAGATCTTTTCTAACAGGCATATCTTAAACCAGGCCAATGGTACATTTTTGCAGCGGTGTACCCAGGCCAAAGCCCACGATTTCATTAGGTACACTGCCGCGGTTTACGCAGGCCAAAGCCGATGGTTTCGCTAGGCACACCGCTACGGTGTACGCATCCACTTCGTTTTATGAGGTTTGCGGTTAGTAAATGACAGTCGTGGATAGAAGGAGTTTTTAAAGGGGGGCTGCACAGAGATTTGTGATGTTATATATGAAACGGGGGGGGAGGCAAACTTTTTGTGACGATTTGTGACATTTGAATGATTTGGGGAGGGGGGTATAAAAGTCAGCAAAATTTGTGTGACATCATTTATGGACAATATGAATGGCTCCTATTGTGAAAATATGGAAGGATACCACATTTATATCACAAGATTTTGGCTGATTTTGGGTTAGCGGTAAGGCCTGCGATGTGTTCCACTTTATATAGGCCAGAGGTTCCCCCAGTAGAGTGGTTCAGGTCCTCCCCTCCCCAGAGAATTTCTTTAATTTCTATTTTGGTATTTAATGTGGGGGATGGGTCTCCCTTCCCTCGAACAGCTGCACTGCAACAGCAATTCTCGACCTGTTGGTCGGGACCCTTTTGGGGGTCGCCTTAGACCCTCTGAAAACACATATGCTCTACAGTTATGAAGTAGCAATGAAAATAATTTTGTGGCTGGGGGTCCCACAACATGAGGAACTGTATTAAAGGGTCGCATCATTAGGAAGGTTGAGAACCACTGCCCTAGAAGATCATTCCAAATACAGTATTCTCCCTTTTGATAGCGAAGTTGTAACATATGGGTATTATGCTTTTAAACTAATCAAAAGACAGCACTTTTGGTGCACACAACCCCCCCCCCCCCCCCC